ACTGTTGGATCACATTCAGATATCCTTCGATGTTTTCCCTACCGGAAAATTCAGCCAGACGCTTCTCCATCAATGCGGCATACTTGTTGCATGTCTCTATAGCCTATACGAACGTACTCCTCTCGAGTATACATATCAGCTAATAGATGAAGAGCGCAGCCTCCTGAACTGATTACATGCCATATCTGGGCAAGATGCTCGGGATCTTCAGAATGACCACCCGCCGCCTCAGTACGAAACGTCGGAGGAGCTGACGCGTCTGGCCTCAGTAAGGATCGTTCGAGATCAATCCTTGATTGACCACCTCCAGATGCTCTTCCAACCGAAGAACCCTCGGGAGAAGACGAGTCTGAACTCACAGAAATTAAAGCTTCGAGATGACGATGACGAGCCTGGGTAGCTGCGGTACGACTACCACCAGGAGGATTGCCCACGGACGCAGCCGAATGAGCTGGGACGATTTGATTCCCAGTCGGCAGAAAGACAATAGCCAACGGTTGAGGTCGAACGAAGCGTAGGACCTTAGGGAGATTATCGAAATCTCCCCGACGGCCAGACCTCGGGAGCCGCATCCGAGCCATCAGGAGAGGGAATCCTCCTCCTCCCTACAAATAAACGGAACATGGAAAATATGTGTATAAGAGGTAAGCAATTCTCTAACACATAATGAACTCAAAGGAAAGTAGGACTTACTGAGGCGAACACCACATGGACGAATCGGATTTTCCAAACCAACAGGCTCGGCGCGACCTTGTTCAAGAGGAGTAGCAAGAGCAGCCCGAATACGCTGCACAATGAAGGTAAACCAACGAGTTTGACCTCGGCGTAAAGTTTTTATTAAACTCTGAAGCTCGGACGTCATCGGGGCATATCCAAAGAGTTCTACATAAAAGGACGACGAGCCTTCAGAGAAACTAGTATGCACACAAGAACTAAATCTCGATAAAGTAAAAAAACAAACCTATGTCCCATGTCCAGTCACGAGGAAGTCAGCTGAAGTCGAAGTCTCCAACCGAGGTCGAGTCTATCTTGAAGACGAAGAACTTTTTCTCTCCACCTATCGTCGCGATTGGGAATGCCATCAATAATGGTGCGACCATTTCGGGGAGAAAGGAGCATGGTACCAGGAAAGCGCGTGTTATTTTTGACCACACAAAGCTGTTTCAACTCCTCTAACCCAAACTTAAGACCCTCTTCCTAAGCTCGAATCCACAAACCCAGAAAGTGGTGAAGAAAATCGGGGCACATATAGGTAAAAGCCATTCCCATCATCAGCAAGCGCTTCAAGGAGAAACAAAGGAAGTGGGAACGACAGACCGCAATCTCGGAAGTGCGTTACATAAGCACTGCAATATCCATCGTGAACAGTCTTGGGAGTCTCATTGTCCTCCGCGATATCGATTTCCACATTGTAGGGAACTCCCCAAAGTTCGTGGATGCCTTCGAGGTGCTTTCCCTCGATAATAGTGAGAAGATGAGGAGCGAATCTTTTGTTTGCCATGGGAGTATCGAGAACTAAAGACGAAGCAAGAGAAGAAAAAATCGCTAGAAAACTGATCTCCTCAACGAAGAAGACGACCTATTTAATAGAGATCCAAAAGCGGTTCCCAAAGCAGATGACGTCGACAATCAATCTCAGCCGCACGATGGAAGGAAGTGGCCAACAAGAGCGATACACGTGGCACCACGCTCCCCGAGATACGTGAGGACGGACGGTTGATTAGAGCAGCTCGCCTCTTCAGTTTCATAAACTAAAAAGGCTGGGAGGCAAATGTTGGACCCAAGATCGGCTCCATTAACGCGAGGTCTGTCAAAAAACTATGGAAGCGAGTCCGCAAAGCACTCATGGAGTAAAACGATAACGGGACTAAATCCAATGACCAGAATAAGGCCCAGGCCCATTTTTGATTATCATATCATGGTCAACGAACACGACGAGGTCGAAATGGAACAATGAAGATCGCGGGAACAGTTAGAGGAGAAGAAGGCTATAAAAAGGAGCTATGGCGGAGCATAGATGGACATGGAAAACCCTAGAGCTATTTACTAATCACATCGACCTTACTCCATAGATTTCTAGTTTGTTTAGTACTTCTACCTCTCATTGTTGTTTTCGATCTTGTTCATCACCTTGTAAACGAATTCCATATTCATTAAAAGTCCATTTTTGTCAACCGAATTCCGATTGTATCGTTGTGTTTAAGAGCATCGTTGCCCACATCATTTGGCTTCCCCTGATTAAACTCTCGATCACTAGAAAATACTTAGTGTGGATTTTAGGATCTACACTAATGACATATCAATTTTTTCTCCATGTTTATACCAAACATAATAGTCTAGCATAAATCCCCTATTATATATATGATTCCAAATTTTTCGCCCCAAACAAAATTTATTGTTCTCGCAAACACTACATTGACAGAAAAATTTACCCACATTTCTTTGCGCTATAGGCTGGCTGTTTGTGAATGCCACGAATTTCTCCACCCCTGCTATGAACTCTTCCGTTAATTTTTTTTTCTCCTCAACGTTTATCTTGTACATCCACTTTCAGAAATTAGAATAGTTGTAATTATACGACATTGTACAATTTATTAAAAACGATATTTCTTCTATTTTTTTCATTTTCTATGAGTTTTATGAGTAGAAATGTGTGAAAAAAAAATCTTATATAGCAATATTACCAACTACTTACCGATTGATCGACAAAATTTAGGTGCACTGACCATAAAACGTTAACCACGTGCTTGTACATGTTTCTACCCACTGTTTTCCGATTGAATTAAGACCACAGTTATCAGTTGCAAAACAATCGCTAATTTTGCTGGCTGCATTGCAACTGAAATGTCCCGACCACACTATAGTCGACAATTAGTCGTAAAATTGTGTCCGAGTTGCAACTGATTTGTGTAGTATCTATTTTTCGGACTATTTTGTGACTGATTTTACTTGGTCGCATTTTAGTCGCAAAAAAGTTGGTACATAGTCGTAATGTTTTGCGACTACTGTATTAGTCGCATAGTGTAGCCGGAAATCACATGTTTTCTTGTAGTGATTCTCAGCGTAGATTGATGGCTGAGAATTATAGATATACCTGGTGAGGACATGTCAGTTGCTTCTATCATGAAGCATGAGGGTTCTCAACATTTGTAAAAATTGATTTGTTATTGTATTATCAACCGAAATTAGTCCTACTTGTATACTTTTTGCCTTCTTTCTAACGATCAGAAACTCAGAGAAGCAGATAAATTTCACCACTTACAGCATACTGATACTTCTTCACTTTTTCATTCAGAGAATCGTACTTGAGAGCCATTTATTTTCACATCTTATAGCAATCACTACCTCATTTCACCCTTATCAAAACAAAAAAAAAGAGGTTTTTTGTGGTGAGAATCCATGAACTCACATCAGCAATTTGAACTGGAGAGCCAGACATGATCAAATGAATCGACATCAGAACTAAAAAGCCACGGCTTTTCAAATGAAAAAGAAAATTGATCCAAACGAAACATCGAATAATCACCACATACCTTCAAAAGTTCATTCTTGTGACCCACATCTCCACTGAAAGATATCTATTACCCAAAAAACTCAATTGTGTTGAAGAGGAAGTATATATAATGAGGGCTCATGGAGGGTTTACGAATCCAGACGATTAAATGGTGAAGAGAAGAAGTAGATATTGAAAAACAGAATTTGAAATCAGAAATACCAGGTGTCTGCACTCTGTATTTTTTTCGTTATTACATAGATTCTTTTTTTGAGTGTAACCCACATAACGCTAATGTGGATAGTTGTAAAATAGCAGAAACTACCTCACTATATTTACTGATATTTTTTTATCAATTAATAAAATTCTTTTAAAGTTATATATTTTAAAAATAAAATACTATACACAAGTACATTTCTCCTTGAGTAGCTTTGTAGAAAAAAATTAGTTACTGTCTCTACACTTGCATGTCCAGAAATATGACATTGTTAGAGCATTAAGTATTTATATTTTTAGCATTTAAAGGAAAAGAAATAATTTCATATAACGTTTACAACTGTGTACTATATATATGGTGACGTATTTGCTTTATTGTTAGATCTTTTACCTCTATGGTACAGTCATATACTATATATGTTTTGTAAGGGATGAGTTTAATATATATTTACAGACGTCATTAGTTTCATACTGTATTTAGTGGCCTAGTTTTAGTTTGTAAAACAAGAATCTCACCGTGACTATAGCTACAAATCCATGTGATATTGTTTAGTGTCCTATCTGTACACAATAATATATACCTGTTATGAAAAAAATGATGTATGATTATGCTGAAATTATTTTATTATTATTGAGCTACCCAGAGATTGTGAAGCTCCTATAGTTTTATTAATTGAAGGTTTTGTATTGTTTCGTGTTACTTGAGCAAGATATTTTTTTTGTTTTTTTCGTTGTATAGTTAAATCAGAAATAAAAAGGTTTAACCCTTCAAGTAAAACAGAATGGATGAACAATAATACATAAGTAGAGGGAAAAAAACAAGGTGTGATAAAGTGATTCAATCATTTTTAACTATTTTCCCGATAATGTATAAATTTAGTAATCACACAGATAAGAAAAAAAAAACAGAAAGATGTATAACTAAGAAAAGGACAAAGGTTTAGGAAGGGGTAAGAGAAGGTTTACCCTTAAAAGACAGAGTTAACATTCGTTTCCTTTGGCTCTCTCTCTTTAATCAGAATGTGTTTTTTTTTTTTGCATAAGCTCCACAGCCAAAAGCATATCTTGAACTGCACTCTCAAACCCTAATTAGATTTGGTCTGCATGACTCTGATATTGATGTCATTCTATTAATCTTTCAGCTAATAAGGCTTTGAATAAGTTCTTAAACAATCTTTTCAAAATTTTCAATTTTCAATTTTCAACATAAGTTTTCGTGTGAAACAAGACATTATAAAATTGGAGTCGCCGGCAGGTGTTAACAGCCGGAGGCTGTTTTGATATTGAAACAATGCTGTTCGGTCGTAAGTCATCGAGCAAGTTACAGGTAAAGTTTTTTTTTTCTCTTAAAAAAATTCGTGATTGAGTTTATTTTACAGGTAAAGCTGTTCTGATTTTCTTGATTGAATTTATTTTAAAGTTCTCTTGGTTGATTTTAGTTATTCATATCTACAGGAAATTAATCATTCAAACGGTTCTTAGAAAAGTGTTGCTTAAGTTTCATGTCCCTTGAGTTATTATATGACCATATTTACAAAATGAAATACGAGTATTCTCATAAATCCTTCATCTTGTTCATGTTAGATCATCAAAAAGTTCACATGAAAGGCTGTAATCCTTGTTCATTTTAACAGTCTACGTCTAACTTTTACTATGAAATGTTTAGTTCCAACCCTTCTTTCTCTGTTTTCTAAGTAAAAAGAAGTTCTAACAATTTTTCTGAATCACATTTTCAGCCAGTAAATGGCCAATCTTCGCCTAAAGCTAGCAAGATTAACAAGCAGGATGTTAAGCCATCATCATCACCTAACGCTTCGTCACCTATGCCGATTAGATCATCTAAGTCAATATTATCAAGACGTACTTCTTCGAATTTGTCGCCTGTGGGTGTCCTCAAGAATGCTTCTATTAGAGAAGCTAAGAGCCCCAAGACAAGGAGCTCACCCAAATGGGCAGGGAACTTTATTCTTATGGTCGAGCTTCGCAGGAAGATCTTTACATTTAGAGATATCATTGATCTTCCCCATCTTGATGGTTCTCCTTCCATAACCGATGTGCGTAAACCAAAATTTTTAGTTATCCTTCTTAATCAACCCTTCATGTGTTGTTTTCACTCACTTGCTTGTTTTGTTGTGTAGATTGTTACGCATACAATGCAAGATCTCAAGAATATTTGTCCTGATATTATCAACAGCTCACTTATTTCAGAAATTAGACGAGCAAATGTCGACAAGGTATTCAAAACATGCAACCCATTGTCCTGAGTTCATATACCTACCTTGGATCTGATCAAATGTTTTTGTCCACAGGTACTTGACCATTTCTTCAATGCTTTGAAATCTATGGGAGATTCATGGATCGATAACTCCGAATGGATAGCTAAATCTAAGTATTGGAGTAGTAGCGTGGGAAAGAATCAGTCCGATCGATTAGGTAACATTTACCTTCACGCAAAAGTCATTCTCACCATCTTGAATTTCAAATTCTTTTTAAAAAAGTTGTAACGTCTCCTTTGCAGTGGAAAAAGTGTTAGCAGCATTAGATGGACTGATCAAGATGTCGAAAGAGAGGTTTGATATGATGGAGATTGATGAAAAAGAAGAAGAGAGGGAAGATTTAATTAGTCCGCGGACTGCTAAAACATTGAGCAGTCGAGTTTTATCTCCATCTGAATCATTCTCTGATAGCAGAAGCTCGTTCTGCGGGTCACCAATCACGCCACGATCAGTTCTTCCAGAACCGATGATAGGCTCGCCGAGTAAGGGTGGAGACTTTGCAAACTCTGCATCACATCTTCTGTGGAATATGAGAGTCCAAGCACTTGAGAAGCTTAGTCCTATCGATGTTAAGCGTCTCGCTATTCACATTTTGTCACAGAAAGAGGCTCAAGAACCGAATCAAAGCAACGGAGAAGATGAGACTAATGTTGTTGAGGGGATAAAGCAGAAGACGAACGACATAGAGAGCTTTGATGTTAAGATGGGGACAGAAGAATCTGTTGTTCTTGATGACGAAAAAAATGCACTCATGAAAGTCTCTCCACTTGATCCAACAGCTGAATCCAAACTCAATGTTTCAGATAAATCAGAACTTGAGGAAAAATCTTTACCATCTTTATCCATATCAACAATGCCACGTCCTCCGCCACCGCCACCAGTCATGTCTTTAAAAAGCTCTGTTTCACCACCACCTCCTCCTCCAGCAACTTTGGTGGCCGTACAACCACCGCGTCCACCTCCACTAACTGTAGTGGCGCCACCACCACCTTCCCCATCTTCTGCGACTGCATCGGTTCCACCACCACCACCTCCTCCACCGATGCAAAACAGAGCCCCACCGCCACCTCCAATTCCTATGGAGAACAGAACAGGTGATGGTGGACCACCACCTCCACTACCTCCTATGCCTCAAGCTAATGGAACAGCACCGTCTCCACCACCACCTCCTATGGCAAATGGAGCAGCACCGCTTACGCCACCTCCTCGAATGGTAAATGTAGCAGCTCCACCTCCACCACCGCCTCGAATGGGTGTGTCGAGCGGAGCGGCTGGTCCACCGCCACCACCAGGAGCAGCAAGAAGCTTGCGGTCCAAGAAAGCAGCTACAAAACTGAAAAGGTCAACCCAATTAGGGAACCTTTACAGAATCCTTAAAGGGAAAGTAGAAGGGCATGATCCTGAGGCTAGAACAGGCGGAGGAAGCGGAAGAAAAGCCGGAGCCGGAAGCGCTCCAGCCGGTGGAAAGCAAGGGATGGCTGATGCTCTTGCTGAGATTACAAAGAAGTCTGCATATTTCCAGCAAATACAAGAAGATGTTGCTAAATACATGAAATCAATCAATGAGCTAAAGATTGAGATCACTAAGTTTCAGACTAAAGACATGACTGAGCTTCTTAGCTTCCACCGTCGTGTGGAATCAATTCTTGAAAAACTAACAGATGAGACACAGGTAAGCAAAACTTTGAAACATCTTTTACCATCATTTATGTGTCTCCTGTTTTTGTGATTCTTGATTGCAAAATATGTTTTAAAACATTTAGGTTCTTGCACGATGTGAAGGGTTTCCACAGAAGAAACTCGAAGCAATAAGAATGGCCGCTGCATTGTACTCGAAGCTCCACGGAATGATCACCGAGCTACGGAACTGGAAGATAGAACCTCCTTTGAATCAACTTCTTGATAAAGTCGAACGTTACTTCACAAAGGTAATTATCTTATTCAATTCCTTACTCAGATCCTATTTTCATATTATTGCAACAACATTTTGTGACTATAAGATGATTAATGTAATAGATCAAAGGAGATATCGACACGCTGGAGAGAACCAAAGATGAAGAAGCTAAGAAATTCCAGAGCCACAACATCCACTTTGACTTCAATATACTTCTTCAGATTAAGGAGACAATGGTTGATATTTCATCAAGTTGCATGGAACTCGCTTTGAAGGTAATTAACAACAAGAAATATTACACCATTTTCTTTGTAAACCTTTTTAACCAAAATTCATATTGGATGAACCTCAAATTAAAGGAAAAAAGAAATGAAAATCTTGTGTCGCCTGATGGAAAGCCTAGCATGAAAAAGACAGTAGGATGTACCAAAATGCTGTGGAGGGCATTTCAGTTTGCATTCAAAATTTACACATTTGCTGGAGGACACGATGATCGAGCCGATTCTTTAACCAGAGAGTTGGCTCATGAGATCCAAACTGAACCTCAGAACCCATAAGATTCCATCGTTCAGATCATCACACATTCCAAATACTCACCTTATGTTGCTCAGACATGTGCCTAACGAGAAAGGTTGTGCACTCGAAGTAAGCAAAGTAGCCGAGTCTTTTTTTGCCCTTTGCAACACCTTAAAATGTTCGAAAATGTTCAAAATGGGATTCAGAGATTTAAAGTATTTTTTTCCTTTTGAGTTTGTAATATTACCCTAAAAAGACTTTAAAAACCTTTATAGATTTATAGATTTCGTGGGAACTGGGAGATGCAGAACCTTTATTGAGTGAAAGACGTTAAAAACCTTTTGAGTCAATCAGTCAAAGAGGTCCCCTTTTTTTTTTATTTAACAAGTCAAAGAGGACTTTTGTATTGCCAAAAGAGAATTTGCACTCCATACACACAACTAATACCATATTTTCACTCCCTACCCTATTTCCTCCAGTTTTTGCTCCCCCCATCATCAATATTTCTCCTCAAACTTAAGGTATTCAACACCTTTTACTATTTTGAGCAAATTGACTCTTGCCAAAATATGTAATATAGTTTAGTTCTCTTGTTATAAGTTGCACAAAACTTATAATAACTATCTTCGAATTTAGTGCAAACTGATGATAATAACAATTTTTATAAGATACTCATTTGTTAATAACCAAGAATCGTCAAACTTGAGATGGTTTGGAGCATGATTTCTAATTAAGTTCCATGTTACTACTGAGGAAAAATGGTCGACAAAGCCTCCTGATAAACCTCTCCAAAGATAAGTGTCCTCTCCATTAGAATCCCTCGGAGATTCAGTAGTAGTACCACTTGTAGTGTTTCAGCTTTAACTGACCGTGCAGGTGGTAGAAACCAGTTCCCTTCCTTTACTGTCATTGAGACAGATACATCATTTGGTAGTTTTAGCATCCTAGTTCAAAACGGTTTGAATAACAAGTGTAATAGACCCAGCTCTGTCCAGTAATGATACCGGAAGGAAGCCTTATGTCCAATAATTAATACAGCATCTAAGTAAGTTCACAAGCATTGGTTTTAGACGAATCATACTCCTAATGGTGAGTGAGAAGCGCTGAAAGTCCCTGATCAACCAAATACTTTTCCCACCAAATTTATTTCTGCTCAGCCAGACCACCCATAACGAGTCTGTATTGGAGAAATAGTTCCACACATGCTTCAACTGAAATATGCTCCAACTCCTCGAGAAGCCGGGGGGAGAGTGATGCATTCTTGGATTCAGTTTATGAATTGAATAAGAAACTGATGCGCCTCTATCAAAAAGCTTTAATTATATCCACTTTAATCATTGCACTCTTCAAGCAAGAAGAATTATTGTAATCTTTGATCAAATCTGAAGCAAGGAGCACATTTTCCCCAAGGCTACACCCCTTAAGAAAAGTTGCCTGGTTCGGGCTCACACACTGTTGGAGAACCGTTTTAGACGGTTGGCAATAATTTTGGAGATAACTTTATATACCACATTTCAGAAACTGATCGGTGTATACTCCGCCAATGTGCAATCTTCTGATATTTAGGAATAAGAGCAACAACAGTAGTGTTTAATTCCTTTAAGAGTCTTCCATTGTGGAAAACAATCTTTGACTTCATTGATGACATCCTGCCCAACAATATTCCAAGAAGCATGGATAAACTAGCCATCCGGACCAGGACTTTTATTCAATGACAGGGAAAGATAGTCTATTTGATCTCATTATCCAGAACTTCCGCAATTAGGAGCGCTTGTTGAGCCAATGAGCAACGATAGTCAAGCAGGTCTTGCAGCTCAGGGATAAATGCTTGAGAAACCGGAAGAGTAGCATCTCCTACAATAGATTCAAAGTAAGAAGCTGAGTGCAGCTTTAACTCATCAGCAGAGACTATTAGCCGGCCATTACTATCCTTCAGAAAATGTATATGGTTCCTTGTTACCAGTTAGGAAACTGTTTTGTGATATGTTACTATGACAATTTCAAAAAAAGTTCAGAATTTTCGGTTAGTTCTGAAAATAAATCCTTATTAGAATATCATATTAATCATCTAAAATTTACAAATAAAGTTATAAGTATTTTTAAAAGTTTCAGAAGAAATTTTAAAGAAAAAATCTATTACAAAAAGAGTATTACGTCACATCACATAAGACCAAGTACAATGGTTGATACTATTTAAAATCCAATTTTATATATTTTAACAGTCCACATCACTTTATCTTCCTCTTGTTATTCAACATTCATTTAGATTTAACACCTACAATAGTTTTGTTCAATAAAATTCAATATCATACCGTACAAATTTATATAGTTTTCTTATTAATCAATTCAAAACATCAAAATATATTTAACATGAAAATAACAATTTAAAAGAATTTAAATATTTTCACTTATAATAATAGACTTTTAAATAATAAATACAAAAAATGAAAATTATCATTATTCAACAAATAAAACTACAAAGTTAAAATAAGGTACAATAATAATTAAAAAACTGCTTGAAATACTACAAATTGGATACCATTTTCAAAATGCATTTAATAAAATATTTGGATTTAAATTTTAGTGATTATTGTTTAGTTTTAGTATTTAAAGACTGGAGTTTGGTTTATGAACTTAAATAATAATTATTTATAAATTATTTAGGAGGAATCGTCTAGTCTTTTATGAATAAAAAACTTAACGTAATTATGAAAATGGTAATACTTTAAAAGTAAATTTGAAAGGTGTGACCAAATCTGTGGTAAGTTTAGAATTTCTTCATAATATTAGGCATACGTCAAAACGAATAAAACACACATACATTTAGGTTTTGGCTAACAAGATGGATAATAGCTAAAACTTTGGATGTTAATAATTACATTTTCATTGATTTCACACAAAGATGTTTATTGGAATAAAAATTAGTATTTTTAGAATATAATGACAATATTATAGTAAAATAATGTTTTAGATGTCTAAATCAAATAAATCAAGTTTTTATATATAAAATAAAACGTGATGAATTTTGATATAAATGTATCTCTCAAATTTTTTTGTACAAAACAATAGATTTAAAATAACTGAAATAAAAAAAAAATCCAAAAATTAAATACATAGTTTTAATCAAAAATCATTGGCCAATCCATCACTTTTTTATTGATTGATTGATTTAAACTATCCAGATAATCATTGTGATCCCTACTTCGTCTTCTTTCAACAAGAGTCGACACAAATTATATTCTATCATTTTATTTTGTTTTTCAATTTTCTCACTGCACATAATAAAAAGTTTAATAACTTTCATGTACGTGGTCTAAAAATTAGTCGGAGCTCAATGGCATAGAAGTAGTCGGAGTTCGATGTCATAGAAGAAGAAAAACAACTACAATATGAGAAAAAAAAAAAAAAAACTACCATATACTTTCATCACCTTTGCTGTTTCAGTCATGTTATACTGTTTTGTTTCATAATATGTAACCCTTTTTAAATAACAAATCTCAAAGCTCAAATGAAAAAGAAAAAAATAATATTATTCATCTACAAAAAAATAATGCACGAAGAATATGGAATTATTAAACTAAATCTATGTTTAAATGAGAAATATAATCATTGAAATAAATCTAAATACAAAGTAAAACCAAATTATTCAGATAAAATATTTAATTTACATTCAGTATTACATGAAATTTGAACTAATAGCAACCATTTGATATGATAATTTAAATAAAAATAGAAATTATAATTCCAAAGGATAAGTTGTGTGCGTATGGTAAACATTTTACTATTAAACAAGTCAAACTCTTAAGTAAAATAAATTAACTTATCTTTTTATTTTATTTTATTTTCTTTTAGTTGAAGAACATTAGTATTTATATATATTTATATATTAAACATAATAATAATAATCATTTAAAACTAAAATATCAAATATAATATAAAAAATAAACATTAAGATATACAATCCACATGTAGCATGGAGATAGTCTCTAGACTCAAACAATGGTGGGAGTAAAACAAATAGCCAAAATATCCATAAAATATATAGAGACATTTGTGGTAGTGTTTTTGTGGAGATCACGGAGGTACAAATACATTTACACTAGCTACGCTTAGGTTGAGATTGTGGAGGTTGATGGATTGTATTAGCAGCGCATAGAGATATAAATATATAATTATGAGAAAAAATGTGGGGTACAAAGAGTATGTATTTTTTTTTTGATCAAATACAAAGAGTATGTATATGCTATTCGTGTATTTTTTTTTTCTTTGTTTGATGCACTAGTCGCATTGTTTGTTCTGTGAATTGCACTAGGTACTATGTTTGTTTTGCTAGAGCTAGACTCATGTGGACGGTATACTACAACTGAGTTAGAGCAGCAGTATTGGGTGAGTCTCTAACGTACAGTTTTTAATGTATCAATAATTTTTAAATACATTTTATTTATTTGATTTAGTTTAATAATTTCCAAACACCATTTGATGAAAGTTTCTTTGCAGAAAATTGTACTTTAGAGCACCATTAACTCTAAAATCCTATTTCAGATTCTTATTTTTTTTATTATTAATTTTTTATCTGATTTAAAAAATAATAAAAACAATCAATCGTAGATCGCCACGTGTTATTGGAGTCCACAAACAATCCAAGAACCTAAGCAAAATTATCTCTTGCAGAAAAGGAAGAAGAGATGTTTTTTTTTTTAAATCATGGGACCAACCTCTTAAGAACCCAATTAAAAGGTTTTTAAGAGGTGGAGTTAATGATACTCTTACCGTTTTAATCTTCTTTTTCTTACTTTGACACATAGTTTATTAGATTTATTGCTGAGGTACTCTATATAAAAGACACCACTAATGGTATTTTTAGTGGTTTATGTGTTTAGTTTCTCATACCTCTAAATGACTTTTTAATTATTTATTTCACTTCTTTTTTCAGGTGAGTTTGACTTGTAATTTGATATCTGCACAGTTTAGTATCATGGGATGAATGAGATTTTATTTCGGTTTATACAACTGTGGTTTTTTGTTATCGAAAAGGTAATTT